GGAATTAGAGGCCTTATTTGCTAAAACTTTGAGAAAAAAAGATTTTTTAAATTAAAAATTTGAGCTTGAATAAATCATCTAATAGTGTTAATATATTCATATTTCATTGACTTTATGTGTTGTTGTAGATATATAGTAAAGAAAGAATAAAAATTGTAGTTTCAACCTAGTCAACTTACCTTGAAAAACGTGGTGAAGATAGAAAGAACTTTTAAATTTAAAGAACTTAAATAATAATATTCATCATTTAAAACTAATATTTTTTTAAAACTACTATTTAAGTATATTCTTAACAATATTTATGTAACATTCATAATTCAATACTCATTAATTGATAAAGAATAAACATGTAATACTCATATCAAGAGATTAATAATTAATGAAAGAGAATTTATTTTTAAAAAAGAAATTAATCATGGTGAAAAGGAGCCAAATTAAATTAATAAAGAGTAGTAGTAAATAAATAAGAATGTTTGAAAGAAGAGAAAAAAATTAATCCCTTTACACGTTAATGAAAAAGATAGAGAAAAAAAAAAGAGAAAGAGCTTCATTGTACAAGAGCAAGCCAAAAAAAATGCTAGCAGCTTGGTTCAAACCCGCATTTCTCGTGTGACCAATTGCATCCTTTACCAATTGATTTACCCTAGTTTGTTTGGATATGCAATTTAAATTTTTATGTTGTATATTTTTTCATACACATAAAAACTTCATAAGTTGTAAAATTATTAAAATTGTCTCAATTCTTCATATAATTTTATCAAATAAGTAAGAGTTTATAAAATTACATAATACGCTATCACAAAGATATTGTTTTAAAAAAAATACAACATTTATTGATCAAGTTTTAATTCAATAAAAGATAAAATTAAACAAAAGTTGTAGTGTATTAGTCTTTGAATAAATTTGATGGAAAATAATGAATTTGATGAATATAAATCATAAAGTAGAAATTGTTTTGAAGTAACAATAATTTTGTGTTGGTGAGAATAATGGTATTACTCGCTATTATTGTTATCATCAACAGAGATTGGTGAAAGTCTTGAAGCATAGTTTAATTTATATAAATTATAATCAATCATATAAAAAATAATTTTTAGCGACAATTAATTAACGACAATAACTCAATTGCTATTAAATATAAATTTTTAGCGGCAATTATCACTCTTTGTATATGTCCCTAAAGCCTTAAGTGATGTTGGATCTAATAACACTTAATTAATAACGATAAAGGCTTTAACACTTTTTTATTAATGTATCTATTTATTGTCGCTAAAAATTATTTTTATTATAATAAGCATGTATCGTGTTTTGATGTATCTCATAGTTTGATTTATAAACTTTTAGTACGCCATTCGTGATTATTATTTTTACCTACCAAAGTAGTCCGTCTTATTCTAGTATCATTTGACTTGACAAGTGACAACACGAAATTTATTATTTTTAGTCCATGTCAAATGTCAATATTGGTAAGTAGTAACTCAAGTATTTCCAAGATAAGTACCAATATATTCCAAAAGGGAAGTATAGAAGAAACTAAAAATAAGCCAAGTTAGACGCACGGAAGATTTGGAAGTTGGAACTTACTTTTCTTAAAACCACAGCCTCACTCCACTCCAGCTGTCATATAAAACAGCTGCCCCACTCTTTTTTTTAAAACAGCCTGTCTCCTTATCACCCTCTAAGTTCCGTGTTCTTTTTCATCATCAAAACTTTTTTAGTCTCAACTATATATAGAAATCAAACTTTTCACATTTACCACAACAATTAAAATCTCTAAACTCACTCAAAAACAAACATCACAAATATCACTGATTAAAGAAAAAAAAAATGGATATCTTTCGAAGCTATTATTCGGACCCACAAATAGAATCTTCTTCATCATTTTCTGATACTACTACTTATAACTCTCCTAATAGAGCCAATCATTCTGATGAGGAAGTTATTTTAGCTTCAAATAATCCAAAGAAGCCAGCTGGAAGGAAGAAGTTTCGAGAAACTCGACATCCAGTATACAGGGGAGTCAGGATGAGGAATTCAGGAAAATGGGTTTGTGAAGTCAGAGAACCAAATAAGAAAACAAGGATTTGGCTTGGTACTTTTCCAACTGCTGAAATGGCGGCTAGAGCTCATGACGTGGCGGCTATAGCATTAAGAGGCCGTTCTGCTTGTTTGAATTTTGCTGACTCTGCTTGGAGGTTGCCTACCCCGGCTTCCTCCGACACTAAGGATATTCAAAAGGCGGCCGCTGAGGCCGCCGAATCCTTCCGACCATTAAAGTCGGAAGAAGAATCAGTAGTTATTACTGGAGATCAATCTAGTACTCCGGATGATATGTTTTTTATGGATGAGGAAGCGTTGTTCTGCATGCCGGGTTTACTTACGAATATGGCGGAAGGATTAATGGTACCTCCACCTCAATGTACTGAAATGGGAGATCATGTGGAAGCTGATGATATGCCTTTATGGAGCTATTCTATCTAATATATATAAGTAAGTATAATGAGACTAATGCTAAGAGTGAAGTATTGTAATTTGTAATGATGTAGATATTACTAGTATTGCTATACTATTATTTAATAGTGTGTTGTACGTAGTAACATAAGAAAATGGTTCAGGCTAAATGAGAATCATTGGCCTAGACCGTGCGTATATAAGACTATTGTGTGTGTTATGACAGCTGATCTTAAGTTTTTTCTGGCTTAGGCAAGTGAGTGAAAAAGTAGATTTGTGGAGTATTTTTCAAGGAGTGAAATAAATGCGCTAGTTTTTCAAACCTATTTTCATCTGTCCTAGAATTTTCAATATCGATCATTTGGGCAACTACTCCTCTTAACTAATAACTACCCACATGCTGTAGTATATAGAAGACAAAATTGAATAAAAATATTCTATTTTAGTAGTTTGGTCCAAAAATGTCTTGTATTATTACTTTTGGATAAAAAATGTCCTTTTCCTAAAAATAAAACTGATATATTTGTTTTCTTTGTAGTATAAATAGTTCCTGAATTACTATAGTATAATTAATTATATCATAGTTTTTATCAATTTTCAAAAATAGATATACGTATATATATATATATATGATTTTTTTCAAAGTTAACAGATGTACATGCACTCAACTTTGCATGTGGGTCCGCCTTTGATACCAAATTATTAGTGATGACAATTGTAGAACTTTCTAGAATGGAATAATAATGGGGACAATTCAAATCGTTGGAGATATATACATGTCTCAACATTGTGGTACTAATCCAATATATTCCTAGTCGAAATTCCAAAAGTGGAAGCACATTGGAGCTGGAAATGATGCACGTGGTCCACGCGTATAATTTCCCGCGTGAGAAATGAAAAGTTTAATTTGTTAATTTATTGGAGTAGCAAATGATGATATAATTAACTGTCAAAAGCGTGTGTTGAGTTTTAATTAGTTATTATTGGTACTTCACTAGTGACTTCATACATATACTCATTTCAAAGGTCAATTTTCAAACTCATCTTTCAATTGGATTACGTAGGGGGCGGCTATATATATTTTGGCCTAAGATAAGAATAGAAAGGCAACTCACCCTTCACCTTCCACTATCTTTTCAAAGAATCTCAATAATTAGTATAATTTATTAATTAATTTTATTCTTCATTATACTATCGTACTTATAAATATATCTTTGTCATTATGAAACTTTACATATTTACCTCTTAATTGAACAGATTATCCCAAATTGATCAAAAATATCTGTCATTATGGAACTTAAACTTCACTTTTAGGGTTGGGGTATTTTTTTTATAAATTTAAATAATTTGGAATAAAATTTTAAATCTAATAAAATATACTTGGGTCCATATCTAGTCTCCTAAAATAGAAATAACACTCCCTCTCTCCTCCCTTTTCATTCCTCTTTTTTTTTTTAATTTGTAACTACACTACTATAGTCTAATTTCTCCTCTCCAAAGCTTGAATCTCCATATATAGTTCTTGTCCTCAGGTATGTTGTTTTCTCATTTCAAATATTTTTAACTTCTTCCCAATATCAGAAAAATCATAAAATATAAATAATAATATATAAACATAAAAAAATATAAAAATTCATTGTATAAAATTAAAAAAATTAAAAATTAAAATTCTTGAATGAAACTTAACTTATGAGATATGCTGATTAATAAATAAGAGATATATATATATGTAAATATGTATTTATGGAAGGAATATTTTAGTCTTCAAAAATATAATTTTCTGCTTTTTTTTACGAAGCACAAATTTTTAGCTTCTTTTCAACACTAGAAAAATTGCTTCTATTTCCATTTAAAAGCAATTTTAAGGATTTGCCAAACACTTTATTTTTCAATTTTTTTTTCTTCGAAAAAACACTATTGGCCTCCCAACGGCAATACAAAACACACTCTAACTCAATGTTAATAAATTGAGGATATAATAAAATAAAAAAAATTGTCGTTCCTTAATTTGTCGAAAATGACAAGTAAAAAGGGAAATCAAATTAGAAAATATTTGACAAGTAAATAGAGACGAAGAGAGTATAAAAAAAATTGATGAAAGCTGACCTTTTCCTTGACAGCTATTGGTTCACTGAATCCCCAAAGATTATCTGTAAATTAAAAAATTGGTGATGATGAGATAGAGTATAAAATAGATGCAACACGAATAAGTTTAATTAATGTTATTATAATTGATGAAATGTCAAAGATTGGTCAGTAATGAGGAGTATATATATTCCAAAAAGGAAGGAAAGAAGAAAGAGTAAAAGCTCACAAGTTGCCACATAACCCACACGAGTTGTACACAAAAAGAAAAATCTACTTGTCCCACAAAAAAAAAACAGCTGGGCTTACGCTTTTAAATCCAGCCTGTATCCTTATTATCACTCCGTGTTCTCTTCTCCTTTCACTATCATACTTTCCCACTATAAATATGTATAACACTTGTTAACTGAACAAACATCCAACACTATTATACAACTACTTCCTATTTTTAGCTCTCAACAACAATGAATATCTTTGAAACCTATTATTCAGACCCACTAATTTTAACCGAATCTTCTTCTTCTTCTTCATCATCATCTGACGAGGAAATTATTTTAGCTTCGAATAACCCAAAAAGGCCAGCTGGAAGGAAGAAGTTTCGAGAAACTCGACATCCGATATACAGGGGAATCAGGATGAGGAATTCAGGAAAATGGGTTTGTGAAGTCAGAGAACCAAATAAGAAATCAAGGATTTGGCTTGGTACTTTTCCTACTGCTGAAATGGCGGCTAGAGCTCATGACGTGGCAGCTTTAGCATTAAGAGGCCGTTCTGCTTGCTTGAATTTCGCTGATTCTGCTTGGAGGTTGCCTATCCCTGCTTCCTCCAACTCTAAAGATATTCAAAAGGCGGCCGCTGAGGCCGCCGAAATCTTCCGACCATCATCATCATCAGAAGAGTCGGAAGAAGTTTCTGGAGAATCTGATTACAGTACTCCTGAAACGCCAGAAAATGCGTTTTCAGCGGCCGCCGAAATCTTCCGACCATCATCAGAAGAGTCGGAAGAAGTTTCAGGAGAATCAGACAACAGTACTCCTGAAACGCCAGAAAATGCGTTTTTTATGAACGAAGAAGCGCCAGAGAGTAGTTTCTTCATGGATGAGGAAGCGCTCTTTTTCATGCCAGGATTAATTGCAAATATGGCGGAAGGACTAATGCTACCTCCACCTCAATGTGCAGAAATGGGAGATCATTATGTGGAAGCTGATGCTTACATGACTTTATGGAATTATTCTATCTAAATAGTACAATTTCTTAAATTACTAGGATTTACTAGAAGATTTTGGTAATTTTCGTACTCAGTATTTGGATGGTACGAATGTACATTAGTATTTTGATTTTAGTACTAAACAATGTAGATAGTAGCGCCACTAAATAATGACACGTGTTAATGTGATGACTTGGTTTGGGCAGTGAGAGGAAAAGATTAGCATAGCAAATTTCAAGCCGTCATATTTGAATAAACGAAGTGTGAAGTGATATCACAATGTTCAGTATTTTTTTGCCATTCTGATATTAAAGAATTACAATTTCTAACTTATTTTTCGTAATTACTGAGTATCTAAATGTTACTCCCTCCGTCCCATTTTATATGATGTATTTTGATTTGGCACAAACTTTAAGAAAAATGAAAAGACCCTACAATGTTCCGAAAATACCCTTATTAATAAATCTAAATTGTTAAATAAAATAAAAAACTATATCTGACTTTGAATAGAAAAGTTTATGACTTTTCTCTCTCTCATAAGTTAATGTCACATCAGACATTAATACAAATCCAAAAGAGTCCAATATATTTTTCTCTCTCTTCTTTCTTCTCCACTCTCCATTCTCCATTATCTCTCCCTTAATTTTTCAATGAAGAAGAAAGACTCTAAAATGATTAAGTTTTTGCCATTGCAGGTAAAAGTACTTTTTTTTCATGATTTTAATTATAGTTTCAAAAAATTGATAACATAAAAAAAAAATGTGGGAAAAGATTAAAATTTTCAGTTTCTAGCGCCAATTTTTTTGCCAAATTTTAAAATATTAGCTAATGGACTCCATATAAGTAGAGATACTTCATCTTTAATTTTTCAATTCTTCCTTTTACAGTTTTTCCAATCAGTGATCTTAAAATGAGTGTTGAATTTTCAGAAGACCCAATTACCACAAAAAGGCGATTGAATCTGAACAACCGTCGAGCAATTGCGGAGTGGCTTTTGAAAGAAAGTAAGAATGGAAAACTTAAACATGGTTCTGTAAAGGAAGCAAGTATTTTGTTCAACACATCAAGAAGTACCATTGATCGTATTTGGAGACAAGCTAGATTATGTGTTGCTAATGGTGACATGTTAAATGTTTCTACTAATCTTGCAGGCAGAGTTGGGAGAAAACGCATACAAGTCGATATCAACCAATTCAAAGAAATTCCACTATGTCGTCGAACAAATATTCGATCTCTTTCTTTTGCAATAAATATGGCAAAATCAACAGTTTTTTGACTTGTGAAAGAAGGTGCAATTAGGCCACATACCAACGCCATCAAACCTCATTTAACCGAAGAAAACAAAAAGGCGAGACTTCGATTTTGCCTCTCAATGATTGATCAGAGTACACTTCACTCAAATCCCATGTTTATAGACATGTTTAATTATATCCATATCGATGAAAAATGGTTTTACTTATCGAAAAAATCTGAAAGGTATTACCTTCTTCCCGAAGAAGAAGAGTCTAATCCGTATCGTTCTTGCAAAAGTAAAACTTTTATCACAAAAAGTTTATGTTTATGGCAGCTGTTGCACGTCCTAGATTTGACGTTAATGGAGTTGAGTTATTTTCGGAAAAAATAGGAATTTTTCCGTTTGTAGTTAAGGAACCAGCCAAACGGAATAGCAAAAATCAAACAACAGGAACTATTGAAACAAAACCAATTTTATCGGTGACTAAAGATATCACAAGAGCTTGTTTGATAGAGAAAGTTCTTCCAGCCATTCGATCAAAATGGCCAGCTTCAACGTCAAGTGCACCCATTTTCATCCAACAAGATAATGCAAGACCACATATTAGTGTTAATGATTTGGAATTCATGGAAGCCGCTCAACGAGATGGATTTGATATTAAGTTATGCTTTCAACCCCCTAATAGTCCTGATCTTAACGTTTTGGACCTTGGATATTTTAGAGCAATTCAATCTCTTCAATATCAAAATGCTCCTTCAAATGTTGATGAATTAGTGGAGGTTGTTGAAAAATCATTCAATGAAATGAAAATAGAACGACTCAATCATGTATTTTTGACTTTGCAATGTTGTATGAATGAGGTGATGAAAGATAGTGGTGGCAATAACTACAAAGTGCCTCATATGAACAAAGAAAGACTCAAAAGAGAAAATGATCTCCACTTCAAGTTCGTTGTGATGTTGATGTTGTTAATCAAGCTTTAACTCTACTTCAACAGTGATGAGATTACAAGTATTAAAACAACTTGTGTTTTTGAACATTTTGATGTTTATATTAGAACTTCGCAAATTTAATTTAATTTTTGGATAGTTTAATGTTTATGTTAAAATCTTGCAAAGTGTAATTTACTTTTGGAATAGTTTAAAGTTTTGTTGGGACATTGTAAATTCAACATGTTGAAGTAAAATTTTCATTTTGGTAAATGTAAGAAAATTTTACTTCTTGAAGTTTATATTTGAAAATTTTCATTTTATTTTTATTGTAAATCTTAACTACAGAAAATGAAGAAACATTCATCAAAAAAATTTTAAAGTTGGGACAACTTTTGATCGTACATTCTTTAACTTTTAAAAATAAAATTACATTCACATGGAGTATTTCACAATTCTATCAATAGTGTAAAAGAAAGAATATGATAAAGTGGTGAAAAGAAAGAATATGATAAAGTGGTGAAAAGAAAGAATAGGTTATGACAAAGTATTGAAAAAAGGGTTAAAGTACGGTTGACTATCAGTAAAAGGAGAAAAATAGGTGTACTTTATTACATTTTAATAACTTTTTCTTTAAATTAAAAGAGTACAACTATTGAAATAATGAGATTCAAGAAGGGTAAAATAGGGATAATGTCATTAAATATTTACCAAATAAGGAAATGTGTCATTCTTTTTGGACTGACTAAAAAGGAAAGTGAGTCATATAAATTGGGACAGAGGGAGTAGTAATTTATGAATCCAATCTAAGCAAAATTATCTCATATTGAAAAAAATGTTTACTTGAAAACTAGAGAACTAACTACTCCCTCCGTTTCACAAAAAATGACATAGTTTGACTTGACACGAAATTTAAGAAAATAAAGAAGACTTTTGAATTTTGTGATCCTAAATTAAAGTTATATCAAATGTACAAAATTGTTTTTTAATCTTGTGACCTTAAACATGTCACATGAAAAACTGAAATTAAAATGTAACCAAAAAAAGAAAGAGATCATTCTTCTTGAAATAGACTAAAAAAGAAAGGAATTCATTCTTTTTAAACGGAGGGAGTATATAATTCCTTCATTCAAAATTAATGAAGGGGTGCCCAGTATGAGTCAACCATATTCAAATTAAAGTTACAGTTTCAATTCCAAATTTATTTGTCTCATCATTAAAGAATTTCAATATTATGAATTGCAAAATAAATAAGTTATAACTTTTTCATGTTTATAAACACTTTAAAATTGTAATGTTAGAAATAATTTCTTATTCAACAAGACAGTATTAATTAATGTAATATATAGAGTGAAATATAGGAAACATTCCAAAAATAAAATAAAATAAATATCCCCTTTAAGGAGCTAGTCCAGTAGTAGAAGAAAATCTATGAGGAAACATTAAAATAAGATGGTGGAGACCTGTAAATGGTGCCACGTGGTGGATCACACGTTTTCGTGGACAAGTGGCGGCGCGAAATGCTTTCTTTCATTTCTTGCAAAGGTCAGTTGGAGTTAATGTACAACTGTCAAAACCGTATGTTTAGAGTCGAATGAATTTCATATATTTGAAAGGCCATTTTAATTTTTCTTCCCTTCTATTTTAATTTTTAGCCCTCATTGTAGTTCAAAAGATTTATTTCAAAATAATTACTCACTCAAACGTTGAACATAGAATGATTATTGGTCCTCCTTTATTTATATATATATATATATATATAATTTAAATTAATGGATCAAGTTTTTCATTTATTTATTTTTTGAAATGGAGAATTTGGAATTTGAAATCTCGATTTCAAATTATATCCTTAATCACATATCTAAACACTAATTTATAATTTAATTTTTAAATTTTGCACAAATTTACCCCAAACAGATTGGTAGTTAATTTCCCCATTCTATCTCAAGTATTCTCTTTCTCTTATCTTATTATTATTATTATTATTATTATTATTATTATTATTATTATATAAGAGGGAGTTTGGCTAAAATAGGCACGTCTTCGCTGATGTGCCTAGACTATTTTCGGGAAAAATAAAAAAAATTATTCTACTTTAATTTAATTAATATCTAATTTTTTAGAAATTGTGGGATCCACTTTACTTGTGTTATCGTAACTAACTAATACTAAGTAAGGGTGTGCAAAAATCGAACTGACCGATAAACCGAACCGAAAAAAGTGTTATTGGTTGAATATAATAATTTACTATTTTAATTTTTAGTTATACATATATATAATATATTAAAAAATATATTAATATAATTAGTAGTATATTAGACTAAAAATATAAAACTCTACGCAATAATTAACACTACTTAACAATTAACTCTCCTCTCTACTTTTAGTTATTTAACCTTTAGGTTTTACTTTTTAGTATTACTTATTTACTTTAGTTAGTTTATAATTGACTACTATTAACTTTTGCACGATTGTAAATATCTGCAATTTGATTAATGTCAGGAATTCAAATTGTGTGTTTTTTTTTTAAAATAATGTAAGAACTTCATTTAGTTACCATAAGCATGGCCTCATTTGCTACTGTTTTGACTTTTGTCTATGATTTGGTTTTATTTGATTCTCTTTATTGCATAAAGGGGACCTTGTTTTATATATTATGGTGATCGAAAATTAACCAAGTCTTTGTTGTGATGATCAAAATACAACAAGTTGGTCCTTGTTGTCCTGTTTGGAATGATTATTTCGATGTATGCGTATCGCGTCAAATTATTGGATAAGTCATATATTTGTTTTGAAAGCATTTTCTTATTGGTTAAACCGAAAACCAAACCGTTAAAGACCTAAAACCGATAAACCAAAAACCGATAACAAATATCTTATTGGTTTGGTTATCGGTTTAGCATATTTAAAAACCGAAAACCGATAAACCGAACCGATAATACTTATAACCGAACCGACCGATACACACTCCTAAATTACTAAGAAGTGAAAAGATTAGTTCAAGTCAATATACAATGATGCTGACCTTTAACAAATGTATTTGTTTATTAGTAGCTCAACTAGACCAAGTATTCTAGTGGTAGTCCAAAAAGGAAAGAAGGAAGAGGGAGAGACAAAAAGTAGAAAGTTGCCACATCCGCATAAAGGCTACACGACTTATACACACTTAAGAGTTGAAACAGCTGTTTACTTATCTCCCTCCAACTCCGTGTTAGCTTCAATACTTCACTTACCTTATCATCATATCTATATATACAAAATATCCAAACACTACTTCATTATCTTTACTCTCTCATCAAATAATTAAGTCAGTTTTCAACAATATTACTATAGATATGTTTCCAAGCTATTATTCGGAGCCACTCACTCAATTATCATCATCGTCATCATCAATACTATCTGATAATAGCAATCACTACTCCCCTAATAATAATTTTTCTGATGAGGAAGTTATTAATTTAGCTTCAAATAACCCGAAAAAGCCAGCTGGCAGGAAGAAGTTTCGAGAAACTCGACATCCCGTATTCAGGGGAATCAGGATGAGGAATTCCGGAAAATGGGTTTGTGAAGTTAGAGAACCAAATAAGAAATCTAGAATTTGGCTCGGCACATTCCCTACTGCTGAAATGGCGGCTAGAGCTCATGACGTGGCGGCTTTAGCATTAAGGGGCCGTTCTGCTTGCTTGAACTTTGCTGACTCTGTTTGGAGGTTGCCTATCCCTGCTTCCTCCAACTCTAAGGATATTCAAAAGGCGGCCGCTGAGGCCGCCGAAATCTTCCGACCATCATCATTAGAAGAGTCGGAAGAAGTTTCAGGAGAATGTAGCAATACTACTACTCCTGAAACGCCAGAAAAGGCCCTCTCTATGAATGAGGAAGCGCAAGTGAATAGTTTCTTCATGGATGAGGAAGCGCTCTTCTACATGCCAGGATTAATTGCGAATATGGCGGAAGGACTCATGCTACCTCTACCTCAATGTTTAGAAATCGGAGATTATGTAGAAGCTGATGATGCTTACATGTCTTTATGGAATTATTCAATCTAAATGAGGATATATTTAGGAAATTTTTATAGTATATACATACAAGTGCAGTAATTTAGTAACAAATGTAGACAGAGTGAGCAAGTTAATCTAATTAGCACCTATTTAATCTATATATCCTCAGAATGCTTCAACACTTCACTTCACTTCACTTTACTTATCATATCTATTTATATATATAGAAAATCCAATTTCATATTCACCACAAACCCAAAAACCTCCATCCATCCAACACTACTTTTTAATCTCTCATCAAATAATTAAGTCAATTTTCAACAATATTATTATGGATATCTCTGGAACCTATTATTTTGACCCACTTGTTGAATCATCGTCATCGTCATCAGTGTCTGATAGTACCAATTATGATGAAGTTATTCTTAGCTTCAAATAACCCGAAGAAGCCAGCTGGCAGGAAGAAGTTTCGTGAAACTCGACATCCAGTATACAGGGGAGTCAGGATGAGGAATTCTGGAAAATGGGTTTGCGAAGTCAGAGAACCAAATAAGAAATCTAGAATTTGGCTTGGTACTTTCCCAACAGTAGAAATGGCAGCTAGAGCTCATGACGTGGCAGCTTTAGCATTAAGAGGCCGTTCTGCTTGCTTGAATTTCTCTGATTCAGCTTGGAGGTTGCCTATCCCTGCTTCCTCCAACCCCAAGGATATTCAAAAGGCTGCCGCTGAGGCTGCAGAAATCTTCCGACCATCATCATCAGATCAGTCGGAAGAAGTTTCAGGAGAATGTAGCAGTAGTACTACTCCTGAAACGCTAGAAAACGCGTTTTTTATGGAGAAGAGTAGTTTGTTCATGGATGAGGAAGCGCTCTTTTACATGCCAGGATTAATTGTGAATATGGCAGAAGGACTCATGCTACCTCCTCCCCAATGTTTAGAGATCGAAGATCATTATGTGGAATTAGTTGATATGCACGCTTATATGCCTTTATGGAATTATTCTATATAAATAAGGATATATATTAATTAGGAGATTTTAATAGTTGCCTACTCAGTATTTTGATGGTACAAATGTATACATGTGTAGTAATTATTTGAATGGAACAAGTGAACAAGTTCATCTAATTAGCTGCACCTATTTAATCTATACTCAGAATGTTCAATATATTTTCTGTCTTTTTAGATTTAGAATTAATAACCTATAACTAATATATTCTGGTCTTTACAATGTATTTTTTCACCATTTTTGACATTAGTCAATGTGAAGAGTTTGTGAAATTTATTTTCATTACTTCCACTAAAAAGTATTTTTCTTGATTTAAAAATTTATATTCATAAAGAAAATATTTTTCAAAAATTTAGACGAAAAATCGAACCCACGCTTACTCGAGGATTTGATTGGAAAAGGACATGTCTCACTTTCTAGGTTCGTATTATCTAGTACAATTGTAATACTATTAACTGTCAAACCGTGGGACTCGTGTTAGTGCAAGTGAATGAATGGGACTGTAGTTCAATAAGACAATATTGATCACATATGCAGTCTCTTAGGATACAATTGATTTGTCATTTAGTCCAACAACACTACAACTTCAAAAGGGACGTCCAATCCTTCATAAGACCGTTGAAACAATTGATTGGGGTCCAATATATATATATATATACTAGAAAGTAATGGCCCGTGCCAGCATGAGCCCAATATTATTACTTTTTTTTGTTAAATTTGTTTTTACGTGAAATTAGAGAATTTTTTTTGATGAATCTATCGGTGTGTTCTGTAAAATGTTAATTTTCTATATTTGATGAGCTAAAATTTTTGCAACATA